AAAAAATCAAGAGATAAAGGATAAAACAGTCCAGTGTCCCATTTATGAATCAAATAAAAACACACAGTCCCAAGGCCAGAGCCGGCTATGCCACAATGCCAGTTGCACTCCACGTGTTGCCTTTAACAGGGTTAGAAGTTGTCCTCTGAGACCCACCACCCTGCAAGCATATAGCCAGTGGTCACTCCAGCCTCTGCAATTCTGCTGCCTTTAGGCTGTGGCATATAATAGGCCCTGGCCTATTATATGAGAGACAGAGAGACAGAGAGACAAAACGACACTTTCACTATAGAATTCATAGCGCAAAGCCCATCCATCCCAAACATATCTGATTTCATCACATTACTCTCTTTATTTCATAAATAACTTCATATCTATCCATAAACCTGTCTTTAAAGATTTACAGTTAGATTCAGATCACCTCTGTCTAAAGAGCCATCTGACTGCAATTTAAGGTGTTTACAGTTTTTAGGGAATTTCATAACTATTTGAAATGTTACCCCCATACTTTGCTTCATTTAATTTTTTTGTACACAGAACACCTCGAGATTATTGCCTTATTTTGATTTTAGTTTTTTGTTTTTTCAATAATTTTTTGTGCAAATCAAAATGGGCCTATATTGTTACTTTGTTTTTCCAATTTTAAACAAGAAAAAAAAATTGATTATCCTGTATGGATGATTGGATGAAAGAGTGGATGGATGGATGTCAATCAGGTGAGGCACCTCATTTTTTAAAATTTTCCTTTTAAACTTTAAAGCCACACAAGAAGAATCGGGCCGCTGTTTCATTCTGATCTAACCGATGAAGTTGGCCCCTTCCTCTTCATCTCTGCTGTTTGTCTTCATAGTAACACTTTGAAGTACTGTCGTGTTTGATCTCTGTATTTAAGCTGTCATTAAAGCAGGTTTCTTGTACTTGACAGGTGACCCATGATGAGTTTATGAACTATTACAGTGGCGTCAGCGCCTCCATCGACAGCGACGTCTACTTTATACTAATGATGAAAAACGCTTGGAAGCTCTGAATCACATTAAAACTCCAGAATCTAAGCACCTCATGGATTTCCGACAAACAGAATTTGTTTTAAATGATCATAATGATGTGTCTGATCAATTCTGCAGCCTGAATTGTGTCATATTTTCAGTTAGAAGTCATATTCTAAATAAATGCAGTTACACAGATTGGTCCGACTTTTATCATTTTTGTATCGTGTGCACATTTTTCATTACTAATTACATCACAGTGAAACAGCAGGATTTCATTTTCCACTTTATTACTATATACACTGATATGCATTGTGATTAAATAAAAACAATTCCACGTTACATCAACACGAGTACATTTAGACATTTCCATAAAGTATGTACGTTGTATTTAGTACAGATTACAGACTTCTTGTTTCTGAGTATAAAGCGTACATTCCTGTTTTTGTTTCAGCCATTGTGAGGTCGGTTGTGTCAGATATTGAAGCAGCAGCATTGGGTTTAGCATCTCCATGACTACAAACAGAAACAGTTGCTACAGCAACGCATCCACAACCCGCCTACAGACAGCTGAGCTTGCGTGGACATGACGTACACGACTGCTCAGAAGTTGGAGATCACTTTGAAACCTCATGTTTTCAGGAAGAAAAGCTGATTGAGAGAGTCATAAATGGATGTTAAAGTAGAAATACTGATTAATTGTGTAATTTCTATCTAACTAATCATTCTTTTTATGGAATATCTATGTATGTGTAAAGAGGCCCATTTTAAGCAATCATCTGTGTTCTAATGGCACATGATGTTCTCTAAAGGAGTTTTATAATATTAAGAGGCTTATTGATTATTAGAAAAACCTTTTCCCACCACGATGGCACACCTAAAAACTGCTTTACTGATTATAGATGTACTAAATCTGGCTAGTTGCATCTCTGGAGCATTTCTGTGTAGATGTGAAGCTTTAAAATGGCAAAAAGAAGAATGTGTTCAGGCTGTGTGCGTGTTCTAAGAAATGAAGGTGATGCCTTGCAGCCACAAGAAGAAAACAAACCAAATAACACTGGTGTGTATTACTCTCAAGAGAGCACTGCTAAGACCGGTTGGTGGCAGGCCCCCAGCAACCACAGGTTGCTAGGAGAAAAAGGTGTATTCCCCAGCCGGCTGGCAAGTGGTTGCTGTTGGTTGCTGGCAGTTGCTGTGAAACTAAAGCCACAGTCATACAGGCCTAGAGACCAGTGAGTTACTCACTGTCAACCAGCGGCTGCTTGGGAAAAATGTGTATTTCCTGCCCGGTTGGTGAGCAGCTGCTGAAGGTTGCTGATTGTGACTGTGGCTTTGGTCACTTGCAGATTATCGCGGCCGCCTCAGTTTCCATGGAGGGTGCCGACTTCTCTGCAAACATTTACTAACTACTTGCCGAGTAGAAGTAAAACTGTAAAAAAGTCAGACACAAACTGGAAACAGCGCAAGTTTCCCTTCAAAATAAAAGTTTTGCCTTTTGAATCGTGTTGATTGAGGCACAACTTTTACTCTGAATTCAAACATTCTCCGTTTGCAGTTTGTGTCAGACTTCATTTTCATTTCCACTCAGAAAGCAGTTGGAGAGTGTTTGCAGACAAGTCTGTGTCTTCCATGCAAACTGCAGGCGACCATAGCAGCCTGCTAGTGACCAAAGCAACCATGCAATTGATTTCACCCAGCAACAGCTAGCAACCACTTGCCAAACAAGTGAATATGCACATTTTTCCCTAGTGGCCTGAGGATGTGAGGAGATTGCCAGTGTGTAACTACTTAAGTAGTACAGCACCTTTACCCACATGATTGGACGGTTTTTCCAACAATGAGTCAGCCTTTTAATGTGATAAACCTGCACTGCTTGCCTCTGATGTAGATATTCCAATAAAAAAAATCTGTTTAAGGATTCAGTTAATATTTATGTTCACTTAACTGTAAATTAAAGCAAATTAGCTTTTCCTTCAAAAACATGGTAATTTCTAAGTAACCCCAAAGCTTTGAGTGCTGTACTATGATTCAGATGAGCTTTAGGAGGCTTTACATGTGATCCTGTTTGATATGCATGGTGAACGCTGCAGCATGAGTTTCAGTTCCCAAAGAGTTTAAGTGCAGATGAGTTTAGATACAAGCAGCTTTAAATGACCTCACTGGTGTTCGATTTTTTGGGTTGAGGAATGAGAAAAAAATAAAATACAGATGGTGAAAAATTGAAAAATCTGATAAACAGGTCTTATACCAGACTAGTTTTTGTGAGATGGAGCACTGAGAATTTATGAGTAAATCCATAAGCCGAAGTTTAATTAAATTCATTTCTACAAGACCTGGAGAATAAAAAGCAGGTCCCAAGAGTTCTTCAGGTTGTGGTCATGTGACTCAAGGACTCAAGGTTTAGGTTGTAGAGATCTTACAGGCCCTTTTAACCAATAACAATGTTCCACAGATTGTTTAGGTGGTTCTTCTGTATAGGTCTCTTTGTGGTTCCTTGTTTAATTGTAGTGGCTCCTTTTGGACACTGAGAACGTACTCAGGTTCATTTACAGGGATCGTGGTTACACAGGAGGTATCAGGGATGTTTTATGTGGTTTTAATGGCCTCCAGTATGAGCTTCTAGTAATATTTTTGTTATTTCTTGTGGCCCTTTAGATGGATAAAGTAGGAGCTTTGATCTAGCAACCAGTTAGGTGCTTTGAAGGCTCATTCAGTTGGGTGTTTTGGTCATTTAGGTAGTACACTGGGTCAATATAGATGTACTTTGGGGGTTTAAAGGGTTTCTTTAGATGAGCCACACTCTTAAATATCAAAGAAACTTTCATTTCTCTCTCATCTGTCAACTGAAGCTGTTCACCACCTCCCAGGCAGCCAACACGATCCATAATGCTGAGTTAAAAGATAAAGTGATCACTTAGACGCTGGGATGCCTGGAAGGTAGTTTTATCTGAAAACCACTATTCTATGCTATGTAGTAAAACAGGCAAAAACACAGGTATATATGATTCCTCCAACGACAAATGACTACATGTGGAGGTGTGTCAGTAAAAACATGAAAACACACTTGGCCTCAAAGCAACAAAATAAATCCTGTATTTCAGAGCTGCAGGTCAACAGCCTGCTCTACTCAAAGCTACATTTTGGGTTCAAGTGAAAGATTAAAGCTAAAAAAAAAATCTGTTGGTACAAGCACAAGAATAACAGCCAATTTATCACTTTAAAAATAACAGCAGTGACTAAACATATTAAAATAAACCCGATTATAAAGGAGCAGAACTAAGTTCATATTGTTAGAATAACGTGTAACACATCGTTACTTTAGTTGTCTCAAATGTTTTTGGTTTATGAGTCACAAAAATTAACCACAGGCTGTGTTTTGCTGTCTTTGAATATGAGCTGTGAGCAGCTCCACTGCATAAAAACGTTTTTTCCTTTTTCTGTTTTTTTTTTCTTAGCAAGCCTGTTGATGGCTGACTGTCCAAGAAAATGACACAGGAAGCGAGAGAAACACCAAAGTGAGGACAAATTTACACGTTGGTGATTTTTTTTTTTTTTAAACGAGTCAATGATGGAGACTCCCCTCACCCCCAACCAGTCACAGCAGATGGCGGCACATGAGCCTGATTCTGCTGAGGCTTTCTGTTATACAGTGGTTCTTAACCTGGGTTCGCTCGAACCCTAGGGGTTCGGTGAGTCGGTCTCAGGGGTTCGGCAGAGCCTTCGCCATGACATGCATGGCTCATTTTGTGCACCAGTAAAAAAAATCACATTTTATTTTTCACTAAAGAGGGGTTCAGTGAATGCGCATATGAAGCTGGTGGGGTTCGGTACCTCCAACAAGGTTAAGAACCACTGTCTTATGAAAAGGGAATTTTTCTTCACCCTGTCACCAAATACCAAATGTTGTCATGCTGTCTATTCTCGCTTTACAGCCTGTAAAATGTGACACTCCCACTAATCCTATCACGGCTAGCACTTCAAAACCTTTTTCTTAAGTCCCAGCTGGGAGCCAGCTTCTATACAAAGATGAGACGATTTATTTTGGGTTAAAATGCTGGTGCAAAAGATGCAAAAATATGTTCATGAATCAGAAAAAGAACCCATTCCATGTTAGTGGCAATGGGGAATAAGAGTCTCCACTCATGTTAGCAGCTTGTTGAGGCTGCTACACTTAAAAAACTCTGCTAAACTCAGAGTGTAGCAGAGACAAAGTGATGGATGTGTAACATAATGAACTGAGGATGGTGTGAAATTACTAAATGTTATCACTGTTCATCCTGATGGGAACATCTGAACCAAACGTCATAGCAGAAACTGAGTAATTCTTGTGTATATTTGCTACAGAACTCCAAGATGGAGTTAAAATAAATGTCAAAAGATGACAAAACCTAAAAGAATTTATCCTCTTAGGTTTATGCGCAAATGGGAATCCAGATGAGATACTTCACCAGTAAAAGCTTGATTTCTGTAAAGTGAACCAAACTTCAGCACTCCATTCAGTGATTTTTCTTTTGGTAATGAATGCCAGATGTCTCGTTCTCTGGACAGAGGTCCAGCATCATTGAAATCCAGGTGAAATGTAAGTGGTAGATAGGCACATCCGGACAAAAAGGCAGCATGTTTGTCTTTCTGTTCTTTCACTTTGCTCTGAAGACCTCGTGAAGTTGGAAGCCCTTTGCTTTAGAGCATCCTGAAGTTTGATAAGTACAGTCTCTGATCCTGTTTGCTCACCACTGCATCACCTACTTGATCTTATAGAAACTGGACATGGTGACGTAAGCCTCCTCCTGTCGATTTGCTCCAAACACCTCAAAGTCATTGACTTCAAATTGTTGCTCAGGCTGCTCGGGTCTTTCCCCAAGCTGGAGGATGTCGATGGGGGAAGGACTGCAGCTCGACAGGCTGTCCTCGGCTTCAGACGAGCTCCTGCTCAACAAGGCAGAGAGCTCCAGCTCCTCGGTGCTGGCGCTGGCAGTACTCCTGCAATCTAAGCTCTGGGTGGAGCAGGGTTCGCTCGACTGAGTGCTGTAAGCAGCAGCAGATGCAGGACTGATCGCAGGCTCTGTTTCCTCACGTGCTGTCGTCTCCACGGGGTAGACTTTGAGATCACTGAGCACCTCAGGTCTGAAGGTCAGCAACAGAGGCTGCAAAACCAGAATGACATCATATTTGTCTACAGCCAATCAAAAGCTCCTTTGTCATGTTCTTTGTCTTAACAATTACAAGTAAATTCACTGGTTTTAACTACCCTACGGTGCAACAGTTAAAAGCAGCTTGATCTAGTACCTCTAAAAAAAACTAATCACAATGTTAAACAGCAAAAACCAACGGGCTGTGCAGAGGCACGCCAGAATTTCACACAGTTAGTTAAATATCTGCTGCAGACAGCTAATTTTTGTGCTTCTTATTAGTCAAACTGAAAGTTCCAAAGATTCATGTCAAAATGAGTTTCATGAACCTGTAGTGCCTGTTTGATATCTTTTGTACCAGAGAGGTCAAGAGTGCAATGTCAGCATTAATCAGTACAACCGATGCACCGCTCACTGTGCTGTAAAATCCTGGTGTCACATCAAACAAAGCAATGCTTGAGGTTTTACAAACTGTGTTTATAAGCTGATGTGCTCAGCATAGCTCAGCAAGTTGGTCAATAAAAAAGTATCATCAATATGAATGTTTATGTTACTATGTTGATGCCACAGTTTTGACTACAATTGCTCTTTGGTAGGGGTACCACCACCTGAAATCTCATCTAAGTAAGATTTTGTGTTGTGATTTCTACAACTGGTCCTGTCGCTCACACGTGACCTGATGTTGCTTTGCAGTGTTTTTATTTTTTATCTGACAGTAGAATAACTCACATTGTTTGGCTTGCAGATCTGCACCAGAGTCTGTTTAGGATGCGGGATGCTTGGCCACATGTAGGTAAATATCCTGTGGAATAAAAAGGAAAGAAACTTAGTGAAGGGAACTCACTACTCAGATTGTTCTGACAGAAAGTAGACGTCATACTTGTTTTTCCAGAGGATGATGATGATGATGATACTAAAGGTCACCATCAGCAGAGAGACCAGACACACTCCGACTTGGTACGGTTCCACCTGTACTCCACTGGTCTGCTTCTGGAGGTTTTCTTCAGGAAGGAGAACAACACAGATCATTACTGATATCAGTGTTTAAAAAAGGTTGTGCAGCAGGACTAGACTATTGTTCTTACCAGGGGTAAGGAAAGTGAACGTTTCACTCCACTCACTCCACGTGCCCTGAAAAATCTTTGGGAGTGTTCGCGCCCGCACTTTGACATAATACTTTGAGCCTTTTTTAAGGTATCCCATGTTGATATTTATGAAGTCCTGGGATGAGGTGTTCTGAATCTGTGGTCAGAGAGAAAAGAAAACATTTCAGTCATTGCAAAACATTGTATGATATTGTTGATGTAAAACAGTCTTTTTATGTTGAAGCACGTCCTCATACAAGATAGGACAAGTATTAAATTCCAGATGACCTGTAATGTAGCGCTGGTCCCTTTTGACTCTACTGGAACTACAGTTTTCAAAAGAAACAACATATTTTACACAATAAGGTTTAAAACTGGTGATTGGAACCATTAAATTATCAGGAGAGTGCTTAAAATTTATCATTGTGTGAGAAACTGTGGAAATCAATTTGACCTCGATTGGAACCAGGTGCTTTCTACCAGAGAAAAGGTAAGACGATGCTCTCAGATTTGTCTGCATTACAGTTAATATCACAGGAACTTCAGAGACTACTACTGGGCAAACCAAACACTGAAAGATTTACTCATTAGATTGTTTAACATTAAAAACAACCCACAATACAACAGTCTCTCTAGGAGAAACTATGTCTGATGTTATAGCGAAAACCTGAAAGTCTTGAAGTAGAATGTGAGATTGCACTTCTGAGCTATACTTTTTAGATCACTGTACCATGATTTCCCCAGCTGTCTCGATCTGAAACTGGAATTCCTGGTTCTTCACTTTCAGGTAGTCCTTTTGGTACGGGATCTGAATCCAAATCTTAGCCTCGTTAGACTCTTCTTGGAAGGTGATGTTAAACACCTGAGGACTCATTGGTTTAACTGCAGGGACAGCACACAGAGAGAGGACAGCAATGATAGCAGCTTTGGGCACGCAGAATTCAAGACTTTTACATTTCTATACTGGAAAAAAGGAAATGAACATGAAGTCTGACAGGCAGTGCAGTGGTGACTCTTCACCAGGCAGCTACTGATGTTTAGAAGCATTTGTAAAGTCTGAAAATGTAACCAGATGACATGTTTACCTATGTTCTTCAGGTAGAGATTTTGTGAAATCCTGCCGCCACTCTTTAAGTGGACGGTCAGCCTGAGTTCCGACAAGGGCTTCAGGTCTGGGGAGCTGAATGTATCACTGTATGTCTCCATGCACTTCTCCATTACGTTGCTGTCATAATGAAGGTAGCTGAACAGAAGAGCAGTGACCTGCATCAGTATCTGAATTTCCTCTGACATGCAGCACAGTACTGAACGTTATATCAAAGGTTTACCACAGGGTCATCCTCTCAATGCTGTCGCCTCCATCACCTCCACCCTCTTCATCATCCTCGTCATCATTTCTGCCTTCAAGCAGCTTGCAGGTCAAATTGCATCTTTTCATCATGATGTGAGACGTGCAGCTGATTCTGGGCTCTGAGATGAAAAACACTTTCAGACATTTCTCCACTTTTTGAGTATTACACTCTTGTCTTTTAACTTTTTTTTCTGTCAGTTAGCAGTATATATATCATATACTACCAAAGATGTCTAACCACGGCTGATTTGCAGCCCATGTGCCTTAAGCTGATTTAAGATTAAGCTTTACATACAACATGCCAACACAGACATGAAAACAATCAGGAAGGGAAACAGCAGTGAAATAAATGCAAACTACATCAAAAAACTTCCATGTCACTGATCAAATATTTGTCTTTATCATTAACACCAGTTTATGCTTTTATCTCTGAGTGTTTCAGATCTTTAAGAGTGAAAAAAGACTAAATAAATGTTTTTTGCTTGTTCAAAGCCCCACTGACTGTTCCTGTGGTTAAGTATGTTGATTAAGTAGATTGTGGGTGATTTAATTTATTAAAATGTAAAACTTTGAATTTCATGGTGATGCCAGTTTATTATCTTCTGGTCCAATATCTTGCATCATGAACACTATTTATTGCTGACTTGTTTAACCCAAACAGTGACATAGCATGAAAGCTGTGATAGACTATATCCAAATTGCTGAATTGATTTCTTTCTAATCAGAGGTTACTGAGAAACCATCACATAACTCAACAGCACACTGGAGTCCCTCCTGATACGCAGATAACTGCATCATCAGCATAATTTTGAAACCCTGCCTCTGCAGCTGCCTGTCACTACAGTATGAAGTGCTTTGAGAACATTTTTATTCCAATTTGTCACAGTATAAATAACTAATTCTCTTTGATTTTAGGGATGCAACACAAAAATAATTATTCTGTAGTAACTCGTTGAAGGAAAACTGACTGTGCATCATCTGCATAAAAATGAATACCGAATTTTCTTCAGTTTTTAATTATAAGACTAATTGGAAGCATTTAAGCAGAGGGGGGGGGCGCAGAGGTTAGCACTGACTACCTGTAGCAGCCTCTCACACTATGACAGCTAGGTTAGGCTCCAGACCCCCCGCCCTCACTCTGGCAACCCCAGGACGATAAACTGGGTCGCGAGAAAGGAGAAAACGCTGAGGCTGTAGATGTCTCTGTTTACCAAACACAATATGCTGCATGACAAAATCTTACCAGTGACTTGACATGTTGACCTTACAACCATGTTCAACACCACAACACTTTGAAGCTGCCAGCATGATTAAATCGTGTTATGCAAGTTGTTAAAATAACCACAACTTTTCTTCCTGACTTTGCAGTTATTTATAGTCACTGCTTTACTTCGCATTAACTGCCTGAACGCCGAACAGTGTCCTTGCTCACCTTAAATACGTGCATTTAACTTTATTCATACCATTGCTTATTATAAACTGCTTTTATGTGTTTTTACTGCTAAATGGATGGCTTACGTAGGGTGTTGCCAGTACACTAAAACTGCATGCACTAAGCAGAACCTCTAAACTGTCAGCTATGTGTGAAGATTTAACCACAGGAGGAATTTTAAGCACCTGATCCAGTCCACCGCGGTGCAGAAACTGAACCGAGTGAAGCTCTGATGGAACAAAAAGCAGAGCATCAGCGCAGCCCCACGAGCACAGAGACGAAGCTGTGTTTACTCCCAACTGTCACGCTGATAACATCACTGCTTCTGATTTTGTTTGTGCCTACGAGCCGATGTGCACGAGAAGGCTGATTATTAAATCAATCCCGGATATCGAAAGCTGATGATGGGACTTAACAGGTGTCTCATTTTTCTTCCGAATTTGTGCCCCAAAGCTGAAGTGAGTGTCTCATAAAACTCCTGAAATGATGATTATTCATTTGTTTTTGTCTTAAGAGATACAAATTGTTCACGCTTCTTCGAAATTAACGGTAACCACACTTGAGCGCAAAGTCATTTAAGGATTTTAAAGAGTCTCTTCATGAAGCTTTTTAATTTTGAGCCATTATGCTCAGGTAAGTGCTCCACAGGTGCAATAATTCATCTCAGATAATATGTGCTGCAAATATAGCCCCCATCAAAGATCCAAACTTTACATTTTCTAATATTTTTCTGTATTTGTATTTCCGTGAAAGATACTAATGTAAAAAAATCACCCCCAACATTCCTGTGCTAACCGCATGTTTTAAAATCTTCTTACCCATGTCGGGGTCTCCATCTCCGCTCTGAGCCTCACACACAGCTGGCAGCAGCAGCAGCATCACGGCGATCCTCCAGCCGAACTGCATCTCATCACCGAGTCTCCGTCCAGCTGCACACACGCTCACCTGCCGCTCTGCTCTTTCATAACCCGCCGTCACACCAGCTGAGAGCTTTTCTCGTCAGCAGGCTGGGAGAGAGGAAGGAGGAGTGGCTAGTCTGCAGAGGAAGGAGGAGGAGGCGGGGGCGATGCTGGGTAGTTGAGGTCTTACAGGACGCTCTGTAAATCAGAAAACATCCTTGATTTGGAGACTGCGGGGTCTGTGTGGTTAGAAGGCTGACGGACAGTTAACTCTCAGATGACAGATTATTAGGAACGTTCAGGGCTCAGTCACATGGACACAACAACATTTTTTGACACCAAATGAAATTAAGCCCACATAGACACATTTAGAGCAAACATGTTTGAGTTCATTTATTTTTGAGCAAATGTAAAATAAAAAGCGGCAGCTCAAAGAACAATTAATATTCCTTTACTTTATTGTCTCGGACAGGAGAAAATCATCTTAGATCAATCAACAAACATCACAAAAAACAACAAACAAACCAGACAACATCAAACAACTAATAGCATAATAAAAAGCTTAAAAAACATTATAAAAACAACACAAGGAAAAAAAATACAATAACCAATCAGTGCTCAGTCTGGTGTAAAAGTATGCTGATGTGTAGAGACTCGGTCCCTCCGCAGTTTAAGAGCAGAAACAGTGACAAGCTGATGTTTTAACCTGGACCTCGATCAGAACCGTCGCTCCATCAGACCTCTGACATCTGTGGGAGCGTGCAAGTTCAGAGAGCAGAGCAATGAGCGGGTGCAGAGTAATGACTGGAAAACAAGCAGAGAACTCTAAAAGTGACTGGAGGTGAAGAAGCAGTGTTTGGACCAGCTGCAGTCCTGAAAGTAACCACAGACTGACACCCGAGCAGCGACCTGAGATGAAGGTGTGAAGAAAGTGCTCAAAGTCGCTGATGGAGGAAAACAGCTTCTTCTTCACAAGCTCATTAAGGTGAAAGTTATTAATACATTCTTAGCATATATTTAAACCATGTTTCCCTCTGGTTACATTCACACATGCCAACTTTAGTCATCTAAAGACCCCCTGAGCAGACCCCCCCTCCCAAATCACTCCCCACCTACAAGCCTGCCCTCAGAAAGTCCCCATAAAGTCATACAACCAGAACTGTGGCCAGGTTCATGAAATCCATCCCACCTGTTCATGTGTGATCTCACTGACTGACAGACATAAAACGTTCCTCCGCAGAGGGCTGAGACTTGCCCCAAAAACATGAAGAAATGAGCAACGCTGAAGTTAAGTCTTGAACATTCAGACTCACTCATGATTTAATGAGCGATGGAGCTGATCTGGGGTCAGACAGATGCTGCAGCAGCTCGGTGATGATTCCAGGTCTCTGTTTTTGTTGTGTTGGCAAGAGAATAACAGCAGAGATGGATGCATTTTTGCTGCTTTTAGAGTTCGTGTTCACCTTTAAACCAAAACATCAGCAACTCTATACAGGTGTGCCATGGGCAGGGGGATGGACCCACGGTATGGCACAAGTGTTTGTGTTATGTTGTATATTGACTTCAAATCAAATGTTCAGAGTGTCAAACTTGAGTGTCCTGGGAGGCGGAAAAGAGTGAAAACAGGAATTCTTTCGATAGTGGTGAGGCGATGTGGAGCTTTGTGTCTAAGGTTTGTTTTGGGGGTTTGTTATTCGTCCAGACTTAGAGCTGACAAAAGCTGCACAGACTATAAACGTATCTGCTGTATAAATAAACTCAACGCGCCGGATGTAAAGAGCCAGAAGGTAAAAATAGCAGTTATCAGTCTGTGGGAAATGTTCTCTCTGCCGTGACCAGACTGTACACTTTTTATCTTTTCTAGCCATCTTTGTGCGCAGACCTGTTGTTTTCCAGGCTTGTGAGAGGGTGAAGTTTGTGCAGCTCTGAGCGAACCTTTGCCAAACAGCAACCATGGAGCTGAAAGTCTAACCAGTAACCTACAAACCACTTCCTGTCTACTCTGGTTTGTTTTCAAATGAGGCCAGCATCTGTTTTAGTTTACTACGAGCTTCAAATTCAGAGGCAAGGTCGCCGATCACCCCGAACTTGGTCATATGTTAACGCGCCATTATTCACAGAAAAAATAAAGACATCAGCTTTGACGTCAGGAGTTCAGATTTCTGTCAGTTTGCAGTTTTGCTTCATTCCCCTCACACCAACAACTTCTCTGTTTCCCTAAATGAGTATTTAGTTTCTCTGCAGCCCGCAGCCTCAGCGTGGTTTGCTCTGTTTCCTTCTCAGCTACAGGGCCAGACGCACTGCATGTTTCAGGTCGCAACACAGGGCATGCTGGGAAAACTGTGGTGCAATACCTGCTGCCTCAACCTCTAATCTGTAGAGTCGACTGTATGAAGGCAGCAGGAACTGCACAAACACCGCAGTCGGAGGAGAAAAGGGGTTAAAGTTTGAAGCAGCACTGGTTTATTTTAAGCCTCCAAAGGCTTCAGCAGCACAACTCATGAGGTTCAAAATGCACAAAACTGGAAAAATCCAACACTAATGACTATTCAGAGAGGCTCAAGGAACACCAGCGGGGTTTAACCTCCACAACAACCAGCAAATCTGCAGTTTGAAGTTACAAAGTTGCAGGCATGGTGGGAGATGACAACTGTGCAACGAAGACACAAACTGCAAAAAGAAGACGCTTCACAAACCTCTTCAACCCTGAGCCGGAGAAACACTAAATGTAATCTTGCACTTGTGTTTGTTGCCTGGTTAAGTTTTGGCACCTAAACGAGTCACTCAACAGCAGAAACAAGGTCACGGTTTGTGTTGTGATAGAACAGTTTCCTCTTTTTTCACGACTCGAGTATCCTGGTGCCGGCATGAAACAACATTCAAACTGAAATAAGTTTAGTTTGAAAATCATGTTGATTGCAGCAAAATACAAACGGGGAAAATGTATGTATGTGTGTATGATGGATCTCAACTCTGACTGAACTAACACTTCAGACTCAGTGTATTTCACAGTTTTGTGTATTTAACAACAAAATAAAAGTGCGCTAGACGGAAAATCACAGCTGTTCCATCGCTGAGCCATGAAAACTGTCATAGCTTCAAACAACCTCCCAGGGCAGCGGTGCGACCGTGGCCCCAACAGGAAAAAATACCGTTTGTTGGTAGTTTGATTTGATCAAAATCTTTGATCGTTTTTCCATCCCACAACAACAAACTTTATTTTATCAGGGCTTGTTAAAACTGTGAGCCACGTTTCTGACATCCGCTCACATCTGCCAGTGATGGAGAAGGAGAGGATGGCTGTCAACGGGGTGACCTGCAGTTAACATGACACCTTTGTTTGGGTGCCTACTCTCCTGTCAACAAGCAAAAATTACCTCAAAGCCACAAGCTATGCAACTTTATGCAGAAGATGATAGAAACTATCACAATGAAAAGGAAACACAACTTAAATCAAGACCAGGGAACTACTGACTGGGTGAGGCTGGGTGGAAGGTGGCTCCAACAGGGGTTTTACCCTGTTTGACTTGAATTTATTAAGGGGGGAAAGTATGGTAGGAGGTGACAGAGCACACGAGAGTATGACTCAGAGAAATGTGCTGCTCAATGGACGCAACCAATGATTAGAGCAAACACTGAACATGTTAAAAACTGAACATGTAGAAGAAATCAGACTTTAACTTCCTTTAAAGATTTCTGGATTCATCTGCCTTCTAAAAATCTCCACGGGAGGGAGAACCTGCTCATTTAGCAAAGATAGTTAGCTGTGACGCTAATGTAATTTCATCTTTTTTGTCATTAAGGTAACGTGTACAGGTGCTGTATTCATGTTGTATAATAAACAGCTAGGCTAAAAATGGGCTAGCTTCAGATGAGGCTAGCTGTGGCCACTGGTGTTGGGTTCTCAGCAGATATTTGGCTCCTAGTTTGTTGCACTGACTGTGTTTATATGCTATTTGTATTTGTGTATCATGAGGCAGTGGTGGGTGGAGATAACACCCGGTGGGTACGAAGGTGAGGTGTTGGTGGGGCGTCGAGCTTTCGAATGCATCTGTGGGTGGCAGCTGTGGTTAACGTGCAGTTTTCGGCTTTTAGGAGGCAACCTGGAGAAAATCATGGAAGGAAGAAGGAGATGGTGTGATCCTTCGACTGCAGCGACACAAGGCGGGACAGTAGCAGCTGCCTGCACCTCCACAACGTTCATGGAGGTGAAGATTTAAGGAAGCTGCCGTGCTGAAAGAGCACAAGTCTTCAGTCTTAGGACGGTGCTGCACTCTCTCTGCTGCACCTTATCTGGGAGAAGAAGCTCTCCCCCGCCCCCACCAAACCACACGCCTGAGGTTCCTATCTCCGCTCAGCATCGCAAAACATCTTCAGCTGTGGTTTCATGTGTTCAGTCGCCTCCCTCTGAGTTGCTGATGGGAATCTGATGAGCCACCTGTTTACGCTGAGTGTTGTGGTTCTGAATCCTGGGGGGTTCAAGATACTGGGAGCAGCGAAGGAGGGAACTCTGCATCACCCGCACGAACACAACATAGAGAGTGTATACGAAGAAGATAAGGATGTACACAGTCAGGCTGCTGCTCTGCCACACAACATCAACAGCAATGACACGTGAAAGATGGCTTCAGGTCTGAAAGCTTAACTTCAGGTTAAGCTGTTCTGCTTTCCTCCAACAGAACAGCTTTGCATGATCCACAGTCCTGGTTTAATTCGTACTGCTCCTTTATGCCGCCCTGTGTCCTGTGTCTTTAATCCTCACAGGGATTACCTTTACAGGTGGCACGTGACCTCTGACCTGTAACTTTATATATATATGTATGTATGCATGTATATAAACATGAGTATATAGGATAACAGCCTCCATTTAAAATGTGTACACATTGACAAGTCTAATTACTCTGTGACTGAATGTAAAACTGAACTGCCCCTGATTCAACCTAAGTTAACATGAGATTATGGTTTTGTTTTTATGACTGTTTCAACACACTAAATATAAATCTATAATATAAAGTCGTAATTTTAGTTAAAAGAAAAAACTGCAAAGTAATTAGAGAA